GAGCCAAAACCAGACAAGCATAAACCAAATCTTCCTCATGCCCTTGTTCTCTTTGTGCCTTGCTGGGGATGAAATCCAGGGCTCTGAAGCACTAGGCAAGCAAGCACTCTATTATCGAGGCACACTCCAGCCCATTCCAGTTTTGGGGGGATGACTACTGAGGTGCTAAGATGGGAGGTGACTCTCTCAAGGTTCCTTGTATGGTTTGGGATGAGTTTTGTCAGCCTTTCATAGAAAGTGCCCAACTAGAGAGACTCGAAAACCATACGAGTTTGTCTTTCATCTGAAAGAGGTTGGATGTTGGTGAGTCAGGGCCAGGGAGACAGCTCTATCATCACCGGGACTCTAGCTCCTTTCCCTGTAGCCTACACTGTCTTTAGTTTGTTACTTCATGAGCTAAAGTAGCTGCTGGAGCCTGTGCCATCACACCTGTATCCCACTATATTTATGGCATATGTTTGCTTAATTGAACTCTCCATTATACTCAACACCCACATGGTGTCAGGAACACACACACACACACACACACACACACACACACACACACACACACACACACTCGTATAGCCTAGGCTGGACTCAAACTCAATGAACTTCCCATTTGTCTGCCTCCACCTCCTGCGTGCTGGATCCTGGGGGTGCACCATCACATGCACCCTTGTATACAGCACTAGGAATGAACCAGGGCTTCATGCATGATAGGTAAGCACTCTACCAACTGAGCCCCCGCCCCAGCTGTAAAACATCTGCAAATTGTAAGTAGCTGTGAACTGGGCTCATGCTGCCTGCCCACTGGGGAGGGTTTACTGAACCTTTCACCCCTGCTGGGTGGAGCTCTTATCTCTGCTGGGAGGAACAGCGACAGATGCTGATGTTTACCCAGAGGTCACACCTGCCCTGCTTGAAGCCCTCAATGGCACTGCTCCCTCCATGCCACTCACCTACACTGCTGATGGTCTTCTGTTTGTCCCTCCTTCCTTCTACCCAGCTTCATGGGACACAGTCCCCTTGCATACCCGGCAGCTGTCCCAGGAAAAGAGCCAGTGTTGATCTGATAATGAACAGCACTGGGCAAGGAGATTTTTCCATTTGAGATTTTCACATTTCAAGTGGAGCTCCCAGCAGCCCTGTACAGTCCAATAACTGACAAGTCCAAGAATCAGAGAACCCCTGGGGAAGGTGGTGAGTGGCAGAATGAGCTGACAAAATGGGGCAGCCTGATGCCTAAGTCTGTGGCTGCCATCACCTATTAGCTCCCGAGATGGCTTGGAGGGAGTTGTCTGAGCCACCAGCGACTGGCTGCCCAGCTGCTCCTCCAGAGCTCATTCCTCTGCAGCTGACTGCACTATCATTCACAACCCGGGCAGGCAGTGAGCCCCTTGCTCTTCTCAGCACCAGAGCGGAGCACCGGCTCAGAGGTGAGTGGATCAGCACCCAGCTTCTGCAGCTGGCAAGCCCCATGTCCCCAAAAGAGATCTTGTCTTTCAAAACAAAATGGATGTCTCATAAGGAGGGACACCTGAGGCTGACTTCTGTATGTTCACATGTGTACCTGCTCACACGTGAAAATACACATATACTTACACATACACAGAGAGAAAAAAATTCAGGGGATGTAGTCAGGCATAATGGCACATGCCTATAATCTCAGCTCAGCTTCCTCCGTTGAACCATGCTTGCATTCCAGGGACAAATCCCATTTGGGATCGGCAAATAAGCTTTTAGTATTCTAAATTTAGTTGGCATCTCGTTGAGGACTCATCATTGTCATCATCACATGGGGGTGCATGTGGAGGCCAGAGGAAAATTCTGGGGAGTCCGTTCTTTGTTTCTACTTTTATGTGAGTTCTGAAAAGCAGATTCAGATTACCAGGATTGCACATCGAACACCTTCACCCGCTAAACCATCCAATTTTGAAGATTTTTACATCAATGTTTATCATGAGATATTCTCCTAGTTTTCTTAATTTGCTTTTTGTTTCAGTGTGATGCTGACTTTTCAAGTTAGCAAGTGCTCTCCATGCTTCAATTTTTCACAAAAATGTAAGAAATATTGGCATGCCTGGCGGTGGTGCTATGCACCTTTAATCCCAGCACTTGGGAGGCAGAGGCTGGTAGATCTCGGTAAGTTCAAGGACAACCAGCGCTGTTACACAGAGAAACCCTGTCTCAAAACAACAACAACAACAAAATGGCATCGGCTCTTTAAATGTTTAGGTAGAATTCACATGTTAAGCCAGTAGGTCCAGGATTTGCCCGGAGAGTGAAGTGACCGATTTAATGTGTTTGCAAATATATATATTAGCCTTGATGGCCTTTGTCTGTGTCTCATCCAATTTACCTCATTTGTTGATACACATTTATTTTGTCTTACAATCCCTTTTATTTTTATAGGATCAGTATATTCACTCCTGATTTTGGCAATTTCAGTTTTCTTAGTCCATTTACAGGTTTATCAGAAAGGTTAAATCTTGTCAAGGAAGCAGCCATGGGTGTCACCGAACTTTAGCAGTTTCTCATTCTGTCTCACGCATTGCTACTCTAACCCTGTTTTCCTTGTGAACACTGACAGCAGTCAATTCCTCACAGAGCTCATCAGTTTTCCGTTACTGTTGTTGTTCATTTGCCTTTGTTGTTGCTGTGTTACAAGGCAGAGTTGGGGTCACAAGGGAAAAGGCTGCTCAGAAGAAAGGCACCCAAGAGCATGCAATTGTGAGAGCAAGGAAGTGGGCTTCTCGAGGAGGAGGTAGCAGACTGTGACTTTGTGTAGCTAAGCATTGCTGAATCTCCTCGGTGGTTTTTCTCTGGCCCGTGGTGAGGAGTATGTTGCTGGGCTGGCAGAGCTCGCTCTGGAGCCGTGGTGGAAGGACCAAGTCCAGAGAGCTATCTTCTGACCTCCATACATGTACTGCGGTATATGTGCACCTGAATTCACATCACACGACCTAATTTTTTAAGTGCATATTTAATTTCCACAATTTGTGATTTTTTTTCCTCAGTGGGCAGGGTCTCATCTGGCTTATGCTGACCTTGAACTCCTGATCTTCCAGATTCTAGCTCTCCAGAGCTGGGACAGAAAGAATATACTTGGTTTAACACTACCTTTAAAAATACTTAGTTAACTGATTGAACTATTAATGTTTTAAAAAGATTTATGTGTATGGATGTTTTGCTTGCATATATGTCTAGGCAATACTTGTGTGTCTGGTGCCATGGGAACCAGAAGAGGGCATCTGACAGTTGTAAGCTGTCATGTGAGTGCTGGGAGCTGAATCCAGGTCCTCTGGAAGAGCAGCTGTGGGAGCCCACAAGCCACTCAGATGTGACTTATAAGACATTAGAGTTCAAGCTTGCTTGTTTCAGTTTCCTTGGGAGCCACGAGAAAGTTCTGATGAACCCCCGGGAAAGAGCATATTACCTCACTAACCAGCTGCTGATGCCGGCTGAAAGGCACAGATAGGGAATGAAGCTGTTTGCCGCTGGCAGGACTCATGTGATGATAGCGAGCTTGGCTGCTCTTTGATTCAAGGACAGCGCAGGGAGCTGCTTAATTGACGATGCTGCTCTTTGTTCTGCTTTGCCCCAGTCAGTATACAAACAGGGTCTAAATTAAACTCAGGGATGTCCGGTGAGCTGCAAGGCATGCATTGGCAGTCCTGTGTTTCTGTTTCTTTTATCTGCCATTTCTCAATCCTCATGCCTCAGGTAACCCAGCTGACTTGTTGGAGCAGGCTTCGACAAACAGCCAGTGATCTAGAGCCACCTGCAGCCTCTACTTGTGTATATTAATGTATGCTCACACGTGGAGGCCGGAAAAGGATGTCAAACTGCACCCATTCCTTTGAGTCAGGGTCTCGCTTTGAACCTGGGGCACATGTTTTCTCAGGCAGACTGGAAGCCAGTAAGCTCCAGTCATCTTCTCTCCACCTTCCCTGGGAGCTGAGGTTATAGGCGCTTTTGTGACCTGGTGGCTTGTCACACGGGCCCTGGAACACAAACTCTGGCTCCTCACGATGGCACAGGAAGTGCTCTTAGCTGCCGAGCCACCTCCTCAGCCTCAGCATTACCTTCTGAACACCGCAGAAGCTCAATAACCGAGCAGCTAAGATCTCTGGCTTCTGATGGAGTCAGGGTCAGATCCAAGCCATCGCCTGGATAACCCTCAGCTGCGATCTTGGGTCAATTCCTGGACCTCTTTACTTGACTCCCCAGCTGAACACACAGCATTGCTAGGAGGATTAGACTAAGGACAGACGTTCAGAGCAGAAGCCTACAAACGGCTCTCCCATCTGTGTGCTTCCAGCAACTTCCAAAGCGGCTCTCTGTACCCATGGATGAGCAATGAGAAGCTTCCAGAGGCCAGAGAGAACTCTGCTCCCCTCCTTCAGGCTCCTATCAAGTGAAAGGCACCTTAGCTAACATGGGACCAACAGAGTCTGCATCACATACCTCATTACTGCTGGGGACATCACTCTTTCTCTGTGGGCCACAACCCTGTCACCTCTTCCTCTCCTTCTGTTCAAAGAGACTTACAAAAATTTTTAATTGTGCGCACACACACTCACACGAATGCAGGTGCCTGTGGAGGACAGCATTAGATTCCAGGGAGCTGGGGTTACTGACATAGGTGCTGAGAACTGAACTCTGGTCCTCAGCAAGAGTAGGATGTACTCTTTATTAACCACTGAGCCATCACTCCTGGGCATAATCAAAATCTCTCTCTCTCTCTCTCTCTCTCTCTCTCTCTCTCTCTCTCTCTCTCTCTCTCTCTCTCTCCCTCTCTGTCTGTCTCTCTCCTTCTCCCCTCCCCCCTCTCTCATTAAGGTCTCATGTAGCCTTGGCTGGCCTGGAACTTCCTATCTAGCTGACAATGGGCTTGAATCCTTGATCCTCCAGTCCTTAACTCCTGAAAGGGGTTTAGACCCCCAAGCTCGCCATCCCTGCCCTCCTATGCCATCCACCCACATCTAGACCGGTCAAAACAAACATGAGCCCCAGAAGACCTTGGTAAAACTTTATTCACAAACCCCAGACCCTTAGGCCTGGCTCAGCCAGAGGGTACATTCTTAACAGTGGCAAACACCCCAATACAATATAACACGCTCATCGAGACTAATCATTTTAATTTAAATTAAAGCATTTCTGGAAGACAAATGCAATTGATAGAAAATATAAAAACTTTTACTGTACAAATTTTACATCACATTCAAAATAAGCAAATAAACGTGTGCCCTGTGGCCACAGAAGACACTGGGAGCCCACACAGATGACGTCCTGGCTAGCACTGCAGCATAGCATGGCTATTTCACCCCACTCTGTCGCTACAGAGCAACACAGGCTTGCCGCTCCATGCCTGGACCACAAGGAGACAATGGCCAAGAGTTCCGATTGGTGCATAGGAGCGACCAGGCCAGCACTAGCTAGGATTCATGACTTCGCCACCACTCTGATGGCTAAAAGCCTCCTTGGAGGTGAGGCTGGGAACACAGGGTGCCTGGACTCAGACCTTAGGTGGGCAGGCCCTCTGCAGCTCAAGCCTTTTTCATTGCCTTCACAGTGGCTATGGGGGCTGAATTCACAGTATCTGTTGTCCTTCATGCGTTTCCCAGGAGACAAGGACAGCACAGAGGAGGCAAACTTTCCTAACCTCGATTCACAGTCACTTAAGTCAAAAAGGAAGCAGGGGTCATGATGGGGACTTTTTAAAATGAAGGGCAGTACAGGGGAAGGGCTTGGAGGGGACATGTGGAGGGTCCCAGCACTATAGCTCCACCCTTGGAGCCAAGTGGCAGTTTCGGGTTCCCTGCATATAGGCCCCCAGCAGATGATCAGCTCCTTAAGGCAGGGACCATGACTATTCCTATCTGGTCCCCAGCACAGGACCACATACACTGCAAGGGCTCAAAGCTTTCTGAACTGAGATGTTCACCACACAGAGACAGACCCAGGCTCACTGTCAGTAGGCTGTGTGTCATGTTGTCTGTGGTTTGGTGCTGAGGGAAAGGGTTGACTCAGATGCCAGCCTGATGGCTCATGTTCTCCCTGTGAGGGGAGGCCAACATCACACCATTCACAAAGTGAAAGAACGGCAGAGGCTCAGGCACTGCGGCCTCTGAGAAGTACAGACATGAGACAGCCACAGAGCAGCTACACTGGGGTCCTGGAGTGGGGAGGCCATACCAAGGGCTGGGGTGGACAGCCAAAGGAATGGGGAAGTGACGTGACATTTCAGAGGACAGAGCTGAACTCAGGCTCACAGGTCTTCCCCATCCCCCTACACTGGGGCAGGGTCAAGATGCTACTGGCCCAGCTCTCCTGGGGCATGGACAACTGTGCTGGGGGTGGGGTAGGGTATGGGGAGGATCCTACAACTGTCCAGAGAATGGCCTGTCTACCAGAACCGGACCCTGGCCCTAGGACAGGCTCTGAAAACTGAGGCTTTAGTTGGTGTTTAACCGAGAGAGCCACATGGCCACTCCACAGAGGGTCTGTAAGCCTACGGCCCTAATCTACCTGCTTCTCCACTCCCATTCCGTCCCCGCTGCCCAACCTCTGCAGGTGACAGTTCCTGTGGAGCACGTGTGATTCGCCCTAATCCAGCCCCTCCTGCTCACTGGCATTAACAGAAGTCTGAGACTCACAGGTAGGGACCTACTAGGTGCATCTGGCTCAAGTGTCTGGTCAGCCTCATGCCCTCATCTGAGCTCAGGGTCACAGGGGTCAGAATGGGCTAGAAGGCTGCAATGCGACTGGGGTAGTAGAAGTGGTGGAAGGTCTAGAATCTTCGGACATGACCCGGACAAGAGTTTTAAAGTGCTAGGGTCATCACAGGCTGTATTTGCCACCTTCCCTATTCTCATCAACCAAGAAAGAACTCAGTGTACACACAGCTGATGGGCTAGCTCTTGGCTCTGGGGGCTGACATGAGGCACACTGGTGTGTGAGTGATGATAGAGGCTGAGTTCCATAGCCTTCATGTCTGCCTGGAGTCCTCAGAGAAGCAGCAGATGTCTCCACAGATGCGTGGCTGTTTCCTTCCTCTGCGGTAGAATCCTCAGCTCCATCTAGAAGCCACTTGGATTCGGTCTGTACTTTTTAGCACAACAAGCCCAGATCAGAGCAGAGACTGAATTCAAACTCTTCAGGAAGTCCTGACCATAATCCAGATGGGCTCCTAGCCAGGGTTTCCTATGCAAGCTAAGAAAGGGTTGGAGTTCCTTACAGGACAAACAGAGGGACCAGCAGGGATCAGGGTCAAAGCATAGGCCCGGGAAACATCCTGTCATGATCGTGCAGCTTTTCCTCCTTCTCGCTCAACCCTGGGCCCCTCGATGTAGCAGGGTCTTAGAGAAGGGAGTGTTGGGGGGTATTTCTTTGCTCCGAAGTGCCAGCACCCCTCTGCAGAATTTTATTAACTACTGTAAAACACCAAGTCTGCGGGGCAGAGACCTCTATGTAAACACTGGCTGTAGTGGTGTCATCTGGAGAGGCATGTATGGCTCCGATCCTGAGCCCCACACACCTCTGTAACGCGCACTCTTCACGGAGGAGTGACTCTCCTGGTCTGTAGCTTGCCACGCAAGGCTTCTCTGATTCCTCCTGGTGGTAGTTTGCGTGTTTCATAATCATGTTTCAGAAAGGAAGATACTTCTGCACGTATGTGCATGGCTGGCTACATCTTGGGGTTACTGGGCTCCAGGGCCCCCAGGGCAAACCTTTCAAAGCGGGGCATGACTTTGCTGTTGTTGATGCTGCAGAGAGGAGCAGAGACACGGGTTATGGCTCTGCTGCTTTTGACCAGAGTTAAGGAGTTGCTGGCTATGCTTAGCAGAGGATCTGAGTGAGGACTCGGTCCATAGCCTTGGCAGAGCTGCTCCTGGCCACCCTAAGTTCTGGGCCTTGGCTACATTCCCCACCTAGTGGGATAAGGGAAACAGTGACATGGCTTGTTCATGTGACTTGCCAGCACCCAGCATGGCAGTAGCCGTTGTGGGCTCACGGAGGCCGTTTCCTCACTGGCCGCTCCATGTGGATGTGAAACTGGTGAGTGACTGAGGACCCGGGCCAGGACTGATGTCACACACTCCTTTTAGAAATGGAGCCAGCATGGAGCAGAATCCTGAGTGCATTTGTATGGATCCAGTCAGGGCGTGGAACCCCTAGCAGATGTGACAGCAGCTCTTCCTCCATCACTGAGTGACAGATACCACTTGGTTTACGATGTTTCTGAGTGTGGTTCCTAAGGATCCAGCCCTTTTGAACTGATGCCTTTCACAGCAACTCAGGGTGTGTGTGTGTGTGTGTGTGTGTGTGTGTGTGTACACGTGTGTTTGCATGCTGACTGTCCTTTGTCTTCACCAGATAGACAGAGAACTCCAGACAGGGCCCATGACCTCAGTGCTAGCTCGGGACAGTTCTGAACCACTATACCCCTTGCAGGACAATGTCCCAGGATCGCCAAGCCCTCCCCATCCTCTGAGCACGCTCAGCAAGGGCTCATTAAGGTGTTAGTAGGGGCTAGGGATCAGAGGAACACAAGCAAGAGCCAGTCTTGGGAGAACGAGAGAGAAAAGACCGTCTCATCCACGAAGGCAGCTGAAAGCTGTTCTTCTGCCTCGAGAGGTCATCTGTTAGTGCCATCCTCCCCTGACAGTGACTCAAGTCAGGTACCCACAGGCCACGTGGAGGGGAGGGGCTGTTGTTAAAAACAGAGCTCAGGAAGGAGTCTGCAGGGAGGAGACCGGACCAGCAGAGATGGCATCCCCTGGGTTAGTGCCTGCTGGCCTTTGAGTCTTAGCAGAAGTCACGGAGCTGAGCTGGCGATTAGGAGGAAGGACATGCAAGACAGCCAGGCCTACAACCTACAGACAGAGAGAGAGCAGCGTCAGAACTCGAGCCTCAAGGAGCCAGGGCACAGCGCCTGGCCAGAGCAGCTGCCCGGGGACACAGCTGCCTGCAGAGACTAGGATCCCCAACTCTACCCCTCAGAACAGCAGCGGGGCAAGTCTGACAGTTGGCGTGGGCACAAGGGATGATTTCTGAGTCCCCACAGGGTGGTTCCAGGCACCCCTCAGTTCCTTAAGCCTGGCTGGTGATGATCAAATTGGCTTCCTAGAGACGATCACTTCTGCTTACTCGATTCCTTCCCTCCACATCTTTATTTATTATGACTATTACTAGCATTTCCAGCCTCATACATACTAAGCAAGAGTTCTACCGCAGAGTCTTACTACACAGACCAGGCTAGCCTTGAACTCATGGACATCTACCTGCCTCTGCAACTGGAATTAAAGGGATGTGTGTGTCACTATGCCCAGCTGCCATTGGTGCTTTTATTTCTGAGATTTCACTATGTATCCCAGGCTGAACCCAAACTTAAAATCCCCCTGCCTCAGCCTCCTGGATGCTGGGATAATAGGCATATGCTACCACAAGTGGCTCATGGGATTCTCCTCTGAGCTTCAGCCAGAAGTGGGAATTGGGGGACTTGGCTCAAGGAGCTCATTCTCCCTCACCCACATGCCAGCCCATGTGGTGTGGAGAGGGGCCCCACCTGCCACATCCCTCTGTGAGAAACACTAGCCCAGTGGCCCTTGTTGGTGGCTGCTTCAGTTGCAAGAGGTCACTGTGGATTTCGAGGATGAAAGCACAGAGGTGAGAAGCTAGCATGCAGAGAGAACAGGAAGGGTAGGTATGCAGCAGGATAGCCACACACAGGCAGGAAGAGAGAAGTGATAGGAACACACTATTCCTCCAGAACCGGACAGGAGCTCTTAAAGTCACAGCGTCCTTTCCCGTAGTAGTAGCGGCTCCGCCAGCGGCTGGAGGTGCAGGAGACCATTTCACCAGCAGTTGAAGAAGCCGTCGGTTCCGGTCCAGCCAGTCAGCCGGGCGGTGACAGCAGCCAGCAGACAGGAGGAAGAGTCAGGATGGTGAGGTAGGGGAGATGACAAGACAGGCCAGCGTATCCGCCACCCCCCGAAAATAAAAAGTGGCAGAGCCAATGGGAAAGAAACGAGAGGTGAGAGTCAGAGGCCCTGTGTCTAGGGGAGCAGAGACCAAGGACAGAAAGCTCATCCTGACTGTCATGGAAGCCTGGGAGCTGGTGGCTGTGGAGATGAGAAGGTGGAGCCGACTGGGTTCCAGGAACAGGGGTCATCTTTGACTGCCACTGCCCGCCTGGTACAGGCATGGATTGGTGGGAGAGGAAGCCTGTGCTCAGAGGGGCACCATCTACAGCAGCACAGGCTCCCCCGCGGTCAATGCCAGCACCTCACCTGCCAAGCCTACAGGATTTACCTGATACTTCTTGGCACACTTCCTTACCTAAGTCCCACTCTGGAAACTGAGGCAAGTGACCAGGCCCCATAGCCTGACAAAGGGGTGTGGCTGGAGAGGGGTCTTTGGGGAAGGAAGCCAGAGAGCCAGAGTAGAAAGAGAACAGGACAAAATACAGGGGAGATGACAGTGGCCCCTGCTGCTCTGTGCCTCAGGACACAAAGGACCACGAGGGAAAGGTTTCTGACACAAGTGCTACATAGCGAGTTATGGGACAGCAAGATTTCAGTGCTCAACAGCTCAGTGACTAAGTGGGAAGCAGCCTAAGCAATACTGATGCTGCTTGTTAGGAGCTGTTTTGGTACCCACATGGTCCTGACCTCTGACCCTTTCTCCTCTCAGGCATAACTTTCTCACACTGGTCTAGCCTGGGCTTGGTGTCAGTGATGACCTAATACAATGACGTGCAGATTCCCGTAGGTGGGCTGGAGGTGTTTGTCAGTTAAGGGCCTCTCTACCCTTCTGTCCTATGGAAGCCCCAGAGCGCAGTCTGATGCAAGTCCAGCAGAGGGCGCCCTTAAACACTCCAGACAGAGGATCTCCAGGCTCTGATGCGCAGGTCTGGCTTATGGAGGGAGTACTTACTCAGCCGACTTCCAAAAGTGCCCAGGATGGGAGAGTCGCCGGTTCAGCTTGGGCAGCTTCTCCAGCATGTCCATCAGCAGGCTGAAGCTGGGTCTTTCCTGCAGGTCGAAAGCCCAGCACGCAGACAGGATCTCCTGTAAGAGGCACAGTGGTGTGTGGGCAGCTGGGAGGGAGGGAGGCGTGTGGCTAGGACACTTCATCAGGGCCCCTGTGAAGTTCCCAAGTGCCCTGCACAACCATGGACACAGAACCCGGGAAGTGTTTCAGATGAGCCACCAACCTTCCAGCTCAAAATGAACCTGCCTGCCCTCCTTCTTCCTCAACTTGTCCTTCCCAAATACCAGCGACCAAGTCAAGCAGAATGGAAACAGGAGAGAGGGGGAATGAAGACAGGTGGCCTTTGCAAGATGCAAGGTACATCCTATGAATTTGGAAGTGTCCATAGGTGAACGGGCGGTCCTGGGAATGTATGGAGGGTGAAGCTGCCACAAGGGGGCGTCTCAGTGCTACCAGGGTAGAGACAAGAGCTGAACACAGGAGCAGCAGCTGCTAACCTGCTGAGCAGCGGCTGTGATGGAGCGAAGGCTTCCTCTCAAGGTCCACCCAGTCCCACGGCACCTTCTGCAGCCCTGACACCCAGGAGGGTGGCTCCCACTCGTGGCCAGGCTCGGCAACACAGGTTTTTGTTCTTAACTACAACGACCCTTGTGCCTTAAAGCCAGAGAGCCTCTCTGTGGCCCTTCCCAGGCGGGCAGTCACGTCAGGGCCCACCCTTGGGCCTTGCTTCCCTCTACTCACGCCGACTTCCTTTCCCAGGCTGACGGATGCCAGGACGCGCCTCACTCCTTCCCCACTTCCAATCTGCCAGATCAAGGCCTCTGCGGGCTGGTGCTTGAAGGGCCAGTCTCTCGCCTGTAGTTCATACCACACAGTCCTACGGAGACACGACACAGCGTGGGCTACTGGAGCATCAGAAAACCCCACCGGAGGCTTTATGTGAGGAGCACAGCTGTGACTTTCCAGGGCACACTTCCCAGCCCGATGGCCAGCACTGTCTGGCCTACTCACCCAAACGCATAGACATCAGCCGCTTTGGAGAAGGGCAGCTGATCCTCATCCCTCCCGGGTGTCATTTCTCGTACAATCTCAGGGGCCAGGTAGCACAGCCAGTCATGGGACAGCTTCAGTTGGTTCTCCCGCCTGGAGACCGGGACAAGGACATGGACCACGCTCAGTGGGGAGCAGGTGGCCTGACTGTACATATCTGTGCGCACTCACATGTGTAGAGAAAGCCCAGAGAGGAATGTGGAGGTCTCCTTTGTCCTTGAACAGGCTGGGCATGGCAGGCAGCTGCTGCCGACCGTGTTTGAGTCCCTGTACCCAGAGAGGGGCTGGTCTGTCTAGGACCTCAGGCCTATCCGCAGATGTCAAACCTGCACACAGACTCTCTTGCCTGTCAATCTTCCTTGAGACCCCAGCCCCCATTCTTATGTAGGAGCTTTACATGCCACCCAACCCCCAAACAACCACAGGAAACAGAATGTTCTTTCTCATCAAGGGGGTATAAGCTGGGTCCCTCACCCATCACTGAGTAGCCAAGCTTAATGTGCCAGCAGACTCCACCTCCATGAGTACCCACCTGGAAATCAAGTCCTATGAGGGACCCAAACATCACCCAGACCCAACTCTGCACTGAAACCACATGGGCAGAACCAGGAACCGAGGCAACCTGGCCTGTGCAGGGAAGGCTCTCGCTAACAATACAGTCAGGGGTATTCTACACCCGTGCAGTGCTGCAGCTGCCTGACCCACGCAGACGCCCATGGTCAACTCACCGTTCCTCCCGGACCACGCCAGAGATCCCAAACAGTCCAAAGTCCGTGATGACCACTTTGCCATTGTCATAAAAGACATTCTTGGACTTGAGGTCTTTGTGCACGATGCCCTTGGCATGAAGATACCCCATACCCTGCAAGACAGCCAACCTTGTATCAGAGGGTGGGGATGCTAAGAGATGGCGGCTGAGCGTTACCCAGGGTGAGGCAATTACCCATCCCCTCATCAACCTTTACACAGACAGCAGGCGGACGGATACTGTTCTAACCTTACAGATGAAGGGATGGAGGCTCACAGAGGGCGAGTGACTTGCCCCAACCACACAGCAATTAAACATGAAGCCCAGATCTGACATCAAATGAATTCATGCTCTTTCTATGACATTCTGCTGCCCTGAGACTTGGGTAAGGTGGGGGCACGGACACAGTGGCTGGCAGTGGGCAGAGGTCAAGGAGTGTAAAGACCAGTGAGGGATACGGACTGGAGATGTTGCTCAGTAGCAAAGCATGGGCTTAGCATGCACACAGTCCTGTGTTCAGTACTCAGCATTACCGATCTTAAATAACCAGGGCTGGAGGGATGGCCCCGTGTTAGGAGCATTTCCTTCTCTTGCAGAGGACCAGAGTTCAGTTTCCAGCACCCACATAGGGTGGCTCATAGCCATCTGTAACTCTAGTTCCAAGGAATTCAGTGCCCATTTCTGGTCTCTGTGGGCACCAGGCACACTCTTGCACCCCCCCCCTCTCTCTCTCACACACACACACACACACACAGAGGGAGAGGGAGAGGGAGAGAGAGAGAGAGAGAGAGAGAGAGAGAGAGAGAGAGAGAGAGAGAGAGAGAGAGAGAGAGAGAGAGAGAGAGAGAGAGTAGAAACAGATTTGGGCAGATTTGGGCAATAATAACATCCAGACTAGGGCAAAGGGACCCAAATGAGCAGGCTCTCAGAGTTCCCTAGCTGGGCTCTGCTCTTAGGCAGGGCAACACTCAGGGCAGGTAAAAGAGACATTCCTAGGATGAAATCTAAAGTTCAGCCATTTCTATCACCTCGCCTTGGTATTAGGAGCCCCAGATGAAGTCTGAAGTCTGAGTTCCACGCTCCATCTCCACTCAACTAGCACTGTGTAGCTTCAGGCACAGGGCTGGCCTCTCTGAGACTGCTTCCTCATCCGTCAGGTGAAACGCAGTGGGTGATTCCCACCAGCGAGTTTCTGGCCTGACCATTCAAGGGTCAGGTGCACAGAACCCATGGCCCAGGTGCTGGAGTGACAGGCTCCACCATGGGCTGACTAAGGACAAGCAGCTGTCCCTCTCTGAGGCTTGCTCACACCACAGGCACTACGTGGGGCTTAATGGGTTACATTTGTCATCCCAGCACTTGAGCGGTGGAGGCAGGGGTTTAAGGCCATCCTCAGCTATATAGTAGCATGAGTGTCTGTAATGAAACAAAATAAAACCACCCAAATACACAAAACCAGGAGTGACAGACAGAAAGCGCCAGGTTCTAGAGACAAGTTCTAGAGCTGAGTGAGCCTGGACCATCAGTCTTTCCCCCAGGATTTCCCGGGGTCTCCACAGCACCCTCAAGTTGCAAACCCTCTCACCGAAGGTCAGGTGCACCTCAGATCACCCCAAAAAGGAAGTGAGGGGGTGGGGTGGGGTGGAGGTTGTGCCAGTGCCCCCAGGGGCAAGAGGAGACCTTTCAGCAAGAAGGAAATAGATGGCGGAGGGGCACCAAGAGGCAGCTCCAGAGCCTTTGAGCCACTTTCCTCCTGGGTCCTGGAAGTAGCCAGCCTGGCCCCTTGGCTCCTATGACTCAAAGGGCAGCTCCCAGATCTGAAGGAGAAGGGTGAGTGGGAAGGGGCAGGATTCAGGTGGGGGGTGGGGTGGAGCAGAGCCCTTGGTGAAAGACCACACCTGAGGCAGAGGTGACACTTTGGGTTTTGGTCTTGGAGGTTTAGTTTCGAAGTGTGGACATGGGAAAGAAAGGGGTAGACTGAAAATCCTGGTTTGTCCCCAAATGCCATCATGATTTCCTTCCTTCCTTCCTTCCTTCCTTCCTTCCTTCCTTCCTTCCTTCCTTCCTACCTTCCTTTTTTTCCTCCCTCCCTCCTTCCCTCCCTCCCTCCCTCTGTTCCTTTCTGGTTTTTCTGTATAACAGTCCTGGCTGTCCTGGAACATACTTTGTAGACCAGGTTGGCCTTGAACTCAATGAGATCTGCCTGCCTCTGCCTTCCAAGTGCTGGCACTAAAAGCATGCACCACTACCACCCAGCCCCAAGTGTGGGTCTTTTGATGTCCTGAAGTGAGACACTGTTTCCTACTGATGATGCACTAGCTCCCTGCCAACTGTTCTCTGTACAGATAACTTGGTTTTGTCTCTGCTCTGACCTAATCAAGGAGGCTGTGCTGGTATTTACAGGGGGGGAAGCAGAGGCTCAGAGATGCTAAGCAAGCTCCATGAGGTCACACAGCTAGAGGGATAGCATCTTTAGAACATGCAGTGTTTCTTCACAGCTAATTCAGTTCAATCAACACTGACTGAGTGGCAAGCTCTGGATTTGATTGGATGAGGCAGGGGACCAGGCGGAGGTGCCCTAGCTAGGAGACAGAGGAGCCACAAATCACCTGGCATGGGCAGCTATGGCCTGGGCAAGGGCCAAGAGCTCTAGAGGCAGCTGGAACCCCAACCTGCACCCCACCTTTACCTTGATGATCTCCTGAGCGATCTGCCTCGTCTTGTTGATGTCCAGAGACGTCTTGGGGTCCCTCACGAATGAGTGCAACGTCCGTCCCTTGCAGAAACTGTTGAGGGTAGTAGGGGTTGGAAAGAGGCCTGGAGCTACTACAGACTGACCCCACCCCCATGGAACCAGGCCCACCTGCTTCTGGAAGGTTCTCCAACCCAACCAACACAAGCCATGAACATGAGTTTTAAAGCAAGACTCCAGATGGCTAGACATGCTTATACATACATGCACATCCATTTCTGGAGGTGCAGGGCATGCCAGCTTTCCCTGCATAAGGAAACAGCTCATCCATACTCCCAGCCATTCAGGGCTGAGCAGAACTCAGATGAGGAAGGACTTGTCCTCCAGGACTCTCAACAGGCTATATGGAGCACTCACTACGGAGATTATCATGTTCATTGTATGCAGATCCCAGGCAATTACATCATGTTGCTAACTGAGTATTGTATGCGCCTCTCTGTGAAGACCCTTTCACTAATTCTAAGCTCATTGGGAAAGCTTGAGCAAGAGAAGGGTGGACAGATAGCAGAGAAGGCTGCAGATCTGAAGCACTCCCAAGTGGACTCCCTGGGGACTCCATGTTTCACTTTGGGCTGGAATTTTACAGAATGGGTCAGGGAACTCTAGTGATCTGATACTGTTTAGGAGTTCCTTATCTTTGAGAAAAACCCATTTATCATATTTAAAAACCAGCTGTTTATTTGGGAAGGGTTGCTTGCATAAGGTGCAGGACACCTCACGTTGGTGAGGGCTCTCTTGGTTTCGTGGAATGGAAGCCATGAGTACCTGACGTTTTTTGTTTTGTTTTGTTTTTCTTTTGAGGCGAGACAAGGTTTTGCTATGTGGCCCGGCTATCTTAAGCTCAAGATTCCCCTCCCAGCCTCCAAGTGCCAGCACTGCAGATGGATGCTGCCACGCCCATCTCTGATGTTTTGACATTAGTGGGCAGTGTGGATGGAGACATGACTCTTGGTCTTTGGTTTTTCTCTTCCTCTCTCTGACAACCCTTCCACATCCTCCAGGGCATCCACAGAAGCTGCACGCTTTAGGGACCGGGAAGCTGTGCGGCTCATGGGCCCAGGTGGGGGGCTCACCTGGTGATGATGGCCAGGTGTGGTGGGTTCATGCAGGCCCCCATGAAGAGCACCACGTTCTCATGCCTGGTCTGCCTGTAATTCATCACCTCCTTCTTGAACAGCTTCAGGTGGTCCTGATTGTGGCCGTCCATCTCCAGCAGCCGAATGGCCACCTCGCCATGCCATCGGCCTCTGTGCACCCGGCCCCAGCGGCCCTGCCCAATGGGCTCTCCTAGTTCCACCTGTTCGAAAGGGATGTCCCACTCCTGTAGGTACACGCTAGTCTGGCTGGCTTTTCGAGAGATGGGACCCCGCCAGGGCCGGCGGGAGCTGGGGAGGTCATCCACCTCGTCCTCATCATCTTCCGCCTCGGACTTGCCAGCCTCAGGCTCCTCAGCCTGAAAGGAGATTGAACAGAGAGGGGGGAGAGTCTGGGTCTTCTCTTCCTGGAATGCTGGCCAGGCACCACCCAGCCCCGCACCTTGGCCTCCTTCTGGTAGTCTCCTGCCCGAACACACAGCTTCTGATGCCTATGTCCTGCCTCCCAGCAGCAATAGCATTCTAAGTCATGTTGCTCTGCAGAGACCCAGGTTTAGTTCATATTTCTGTTTGAAAGACAGGATGGTGGCTTCTTTCTGGGTCTCATGTAGCCCAGGCTAGCCTCCAACTTGCTGTGTAGTTGAGGATGACTTTGAACTTTTGATCCTCCTACCTCTATCTCCCCAAGGACTGGGATTACCGGTGGGCACAACCACACCTGGTTAAGATGAAGATGGCGGGCGGTCCTTGACAGCCATCACAGCTGTCTCTCAAGCTCTGAGAACACAGCCAGTCCCTGGCTGACTGGACTGGCTCCCAGGCCAGGGCCTGGGTCTGTGGGCTGGGAGTCAGAACAGGAGAATAAAGAGGTTCTTGCAGGTACATTATTCTACCCTGTACATGTACCCACACCTGCTGCAACAGACTCACACCCTCAACCCCCAGGGCCCCCACTGAGACCCTGTACACCCTAAGAAGAGAGGAGAGAGAGGCTGCTAGCTACCTTGGGTCTCATGCATGCCTCTCCAACTCACCTCTGCTTCATGAACACCCAGCACATCTGCTTTGGGCTGGTCCTCGAGCCTAGGAGTGAAACAGGCTTTGTCAAGGAGATCCTGGGCTGGGCCAGGGTGGCCCTGGGTGAGGCAATATGAGAGCCGCAGACACAGGCAGGAGGCTGACTGGAGGGGGTGGGATGGGGGGCAGCTGGCACCCTGGCCCTTGCAGCACGACACAGGGCCCCATGCTCCTGCCGTTGAGACCTGGCTATCACCTCCTCATACCGTGAACTTACGTAATTTAACCCCTCTAAGTGGTTGTACTCAGAGACCTACTTCACTGGCTGAGAACTGAGGGACCAGCAGCCAAGTGCTCAAGGCAACCTAACGGAGATCCAGAGACAGGAGCGGTGTTCAGCAGGTCTCTGTTCACCTATATCTCCTCCTGGGCCACACGCCTGCTGCTGTTGTATACACAGCCCCACACAGTGCTCACTGTACCAACGGGAGGCAAATCAATCCCCAGGCTCCGAGGATGAAACAGGCTGGCTCCCCACCAGGCTGGCATAGAACCGGAGAGTCAGATATGTAGGACGGGTTGGGAGGTGGCTGCGGAGGGTTCATACCGTGTAGTGTCGGCTGTGCTGGAGAGCGGGGCTGCCTGGGGACAGGCTGAAATGTCTGTAGGAAAGAGAACACGAGCAAAGTGTGAGCGTGCTTTCCTTCATCTCCAAAGACCAGCACACCAGGGACAGCCCTTCTCTCCCGAGCTGCCACCGCTCCTCAAGCCACTTCCACTAGGATGGGCTAACACAAACTCAGTCTCTACAGCCTTTGGTCTACATGGCTGCCCCAGGCAGAGGCTCTGGGTGAGTGACTCTAGAGAGACCCCAATGATTAACACCACCGCTGGGCGCAAATGACCCACAAGTGGCAAAAGTTAACACTGCCACCTCTGCAGAGGGCCCTTCTGGTAGGAAGCAGGGCTGGCAGCTATGGAGCCCCTGGTATAGCTGCTGGTCCTCGCTCCTGACTCTGGTGTTGGGTAGCTGGTGTCACAGCTCTGCACAAAGGAGAACATCCACTCTGTGCACCGGGAGGCAGCTGAGGCTGACCCCCCGGCCCTAGATGGTCCAGCTGTAGCACAAAGACCCACCTCTAGGATACCAGAGATAGATACACCCCTCCCTGAGTGGAACTAAAGTGCCACATGAAGTGTGGTGCTGTGAGCAGGGCTCCCCTCTCTCAAAAAAGAACCAGGAAGTGGCGACAGCTCAAGCTCTCAGTGGCCCCTTTCCTGCCTTGGACAAAGACCCTGACAGAAGCTGTGGGCCTTCCTATGTGGCAGTGCACACATGTGCACAACATCCTGGCCAGCGCTGGGGCCCCGGGGCCTCAGAAGCAACAGCTACAGCCTCTCCAGCCTCCTCTACATCGCCTCCAGACTGCCAGGCCCACATTTTCACGAATGCACAGGCTACTCCAGGAGCTACCCATGTCTCCGGCGGGGTGTGGGGTGCGGGCAAAGGTCTGGGAAACCTCACACTCTCCTTCACAGAGCGCATTGTGCATTGTTCTCATGCGCTCCTTTTGCGTTAGTACATGAAGCCCCACCCCCTCCTGCAGGGCAAAACAGGCCACTCAGGAAGGAGTGCTGGGGTCCCCCAGTTGAGGGGACACTAGCGTCCACACATATCCTAGAACTGGTGACTAGGAAGGCTCTCGGGAGATGGGGGAATCCCCAAGCGCCTGGCAGCCCACGCACACCTGAGTAGAATTACAGGGATAATGGTTACTGAATGTTCCAACTCGATCCTTGAAGGGAGCGAATCTGGAGAATAGAAAAGCCTGCAATGGGAGCTGGAGAGATGGCTCAGAGGTTAAGAGCACTGGCTGCTCTGCCAGAGGTCCTGAGTTCCATTCCCAGCAACCACATGGTGGCTCACAACCACCTATGAGATCTGGTGCCCTCTTGTGGTATGGATGAAAACAAAGCACTCATATACATAAACAAATAAAAAATAGAGTATTTAAAAAATGAAAAGCCTGGAATAACCAAAATACTGGGGCTTCCAGTCTTGACAAATCAGAGAAAAGACTATTAGAGTTGTCTGAAGTACAGAGGTCCATAGAGTTGGTACTTCTAGTGGGAGGAGAAAAGCATCAATTATATAGCCTCAAAGGGGAAGGAGTATGGGCAAATACAGAAGTGTGCAAAATAGTTTTTGGTGAAGGGAATCCAAGGATGGTCTTACTGAATGTAAAGTTTTTCCTTCAAGCTTTCTGTAATGAGGTAGTTCCACTGACTACCAGCAGGTGGCACTGTGTGTTAGGGCTGGGAAAGGCAAAATGTGCTGACTGATGATGATGTTGCCTGTAAGATTTTCCCAAATTGGCTTTCCCTTGTCACTCATTTTTCACAAGGCACCAGCAAGCAGTCCCTCCCCTCATTCTGCTCTGGGTTCTCATCCTTCTTCTGTCACTTCTGGGCAGTGTGACCTTGAACCCGTTCCCTGCAGCCTCTAGGATGGACTCCAGGGCTCCATCCAGCAAGGCACTACCCACACCAGGGTTCACACCTCCAGGACGTCTCGCTCTCCTGCCCAGCTGCAGTGGACTCAAGCGCATGGGGAGAAGGCACCAGGTGGGATAGACAGAGGGTCACAGCACGGGGCAGTGAGTGGACCCATGCGGAAGACTCACCTGGAAAGATAAACTGCTGTCTATGATGAATGAAGGAGGCAGCTTAAAACAGAAGAGGAGTTGAGTCACACAGAGTGAAGGCAGCGGGAGGCGGGGGGGGGGGGGGCGGGGCGGGGGCGTGGACTTGGGGGGCGGTGCTGGTTATTGGCTTAGGTGGCTCTGCCCCAGGGTCTCTGGTGAGAAAAGGCGGAGCCATGCAGGAAAAAGGAACGGAACTGGAGAAGTTCCGTAGCCCAGGAAGTGGCGAGCCCAGGAGCAGAGGGCTACACAGCCCCGGCCAATGAGCACTGGGAAAAGTTCGGGCCAATTTTGTTCTAGAAAATGCACATGAGCCAAGAGGCTAAGGTGGAGCAGGGAGAACGGTGGTCAGATGATGCCAACAGTGTGTGCAGAACGGCCTCCTTCCCTTCGGTCTACCCCGACCCACAAGCACCTTGACCTCCCCACTTGAGCTCTGGATACTTCCAAGCGCTGTGACCCAGCAGGGAACCATCACAAGCCACTTGTTTTCTATCTCTGACGTGCTTGCTACTGGTTTCAAAGCCATGGACTCCCTTCTGCTGTGGCCTTACAAGTAGTTGGGACTCTGGGTGAGTCTAACCTCAGCTCTCCTCCATAGGTTCTAGGACCTGGGGAGGCAGCTAGCCCCCCAATGCCTTATTGCGGGCGAGTAGGGAAATACATGAGCTTGCCCAGGCTTTCTGTGAAGGGCAACGGTGAGGCTCCTGGATAGCACAGGGTAAGGCAGGTGGCACGAGGGGTCCAAGCTCCTTCCCTGTGGGCTCACCCCAGCCCTGCAGGGACATGTTCATGAGTCCACTAAGATCATGGAGAGGGTGAGGCCCCTGTGCAGGAACAATGGGGCCCGTTTCCCTTATGGGTCATCTGTGTGACAGGGTCTGATCAATATCATAATAACATATTTTTTTCTGTCCCTTGTCTTTTCAAACCAGTCCTTCTTAGAGAAACCTAGAGACTTGTTCAGAGAGTAAGGGCAGAGCAGAACTGGAAAGGAAGCCAATCCAGGGGCCACTGCTCAGACACAGGGTGCAACAATGTGAGGGACAGACATCATTTTTAAGAGTACTCCAGCCACATGCATATTAAGGAAGGCACAAGAACAGGTGACAGAAGAGTCCTACCCTTTGGCCCCTCACCAACCCCAAAAGCCCACAGTCCTCGCTGGGCCCAGAGGCTGCTTGGCCAGCTGCTGGCTGTGTACTGGGTCAGTGTGGTCCTGCCACTCAGGTGAAGAGTTGAGGGGTGTGGTGGTACTTTGTCTTTCTGGGTTTAAAATGCCAGGGACCAGTGACAGAGGGACTGGTCTGGACCCTGTGGGTTACAGCCAACAGGAGCATCAGAGCTGCAACTCTTTCCCCTAGGACGCAAACCGGGCAAGCCCAGGGTTGGCCTGACAGCAGAGCTGCCCTTGCCAAGGATGCCAAGGATGTAACAGCTCAGGGCCATGCGGCTCAGTGGGCTTTGCTGTGCTCCCTGGAGACAGGGAGGCCCAGTATGGCTGCCCGGAACTGAGGGCAAAAGAGGATGCAATCTTGGCCTCTTCCTGCAGTTCCAGGGTGCCGCATCTGAGGGCAGCTGGGCTCAGCTCTGCCCTCCAGAGTTGCCCCAGGGTTCACCGGAGCTCACTTGTTCAGCGGAGAGCACCTCATTCTAATTCCCCAGGGTCTCTGGGTGGCACATGAAGGAGTGTGAGGTCTTGTGAATAGCCAGACTCAAAGAACTGTATATGCCACAGCGGCCCAATGCCCTTTGGTTGGTTTTGTCACGTCACCTTTGAGCTCAGAAGGCAGCCCTGAGAGAGGGTGATGCTGGGCAGAAGCCGCCACAAGCACGGGAAGGCAGCCTGGGGTTACCCCAAGAACCCAGGCTCTGTGCTAGACAGCTTTGGGCTTGGCCCTAGCTCTGCCACTGTACAATGCAGGGCCGGCCACTCCTCCTGTCTTAAGCCCAGCAAACTCATCTGTCAGAAGGGTGCAACAGCATCAAACCCACGTTCAACAAATGCTCCGCAGACACAGTTCTTGGAGGAGACCACGAGAAGGTCTGAGGCCATCCCTAAGCACCCAGAAAAGCCCAGAGGTGTGGTACCTGGGAAGTTGAACCTGCTGTCCCGCTGGCCAGGTGAGGGGTTGGGGGGCGTGGTGGCACTGGAGGGGTTAGATGAGGTCAGGAAGGGCGCCGGTGAAGAGGGTGTGGAGGACGTGGTGGAGGATGGGTTGCTGCTGGAGTCCAGGTTCATGGCTGGAGGATGCTCCTGCAGGACCAGAGACATCAGGATGGGTGGGGCTGCAAGCTCAACTCAGCAGCTGCCAACCTGCTGGAGACCTCCTTTTCTCCCTGCTCCTCCACATCCATGGGTGGAGGTCAGGCCAGGAGATCCTTGGGGCTCTGCTCTGTAGCCAAGATTTTCTGGGCTTAATATACAATGAGAAGACACTTAGAGACCCTCCCCTAAAGGATTCCTGGCCATCTTTCTTACTGTAGTTCCTACTTCCCCCTAAAAACCCATCGAACCCTAGCTGGAACTACGTATGCTCTTCCTCTTTATCCTTCCGTAGCTCCCAGCATTTCTGCATCCAGGCTCCTTAACACACTTTGTCAGCTGCAGACAGCCAAGGTAGGTCTGCTGACGACCATCTCGCACCCCAGCACCCACCTGGCTCTGAGCTGGGCACCCAGTTTCTTGATGAATTGGATTCATACTCTGACCAACATTTTTGCAGCTTCTTTATGGGCCAGGCCCTCTGCAGAAAGCAGGCGACAACAAGGCATGGAACCTGAGGTTTCATGATCTTGTCCCTAACAGTACAAGAGCTCTCAGAGAACCCACAAAACTCCAGAAGAGGCAAGAGCTTGGGCCAACGCTGTCTGCCATCTTGAAGGGTTAAGGGTTAAGGGCTGGAGGCTGGGGATGTGGCTCAGTTGGTGCGATGCTTGCCTCGCACATACAAATCCCTGGTTTTGGTCCCAGTACTGAAAAAACTGGGCATAATGGGACAGGCCTGCAGTCCCAGCACTCAGGAGGCAGAGGCCGGAGGGTCAGAAGGTCAAAGGCAGTGTTGGCTACGAAGTAAGTTAGAGATCAGCCTGGGATAAATGACGCCTTGTCTCAAAAGCAGGCCAGGGTGGGGGTGGGTTCTGGGAAAGACTCCAGGAAGTGACTGTGGAGGCAGGTCTGCTTCAATGCCTGTCCAGCCTCATCTCGCAAAATACAGGTGACGGGCTCAAGCCTTGGACAGGCGCGGCTTCTAATCAGAATGAAATGGCTTCTGGATTTTAAAGACAGTTGAATGTAGTTTGTATGTGCACATACTTGAACATATTTCTACACATGTGTGGTGGCCAGAGGTTGAGACATGGATATCAGTAACTTTCTGTTATTTATCAATAACTTTCTAATGATGATGATGATGATGAATAAGAGCAGGGCTTTTCTACCTGTGATGATGGGGACGACACAACAGTGGATTCTGCTCAGTGAATGTGAGTCTGGGCTGTGCACGTTAGGACAGAGCAGGGCAGATGGCTTGCAGCTTGGGGCCAGGGCACCCAGGGAGCCCCAGGATCAGGGGGTACAGTGTGGCGTGGGGAGCGGGAACTCAGGCTCAGTCCTTCTGTCTGTAGTTTCATGCAATAGAACCAAGTATGACCCTAGCAGAAGCCCACTGGGCTCTTCCACTTCTTAGTTGGGTGGCTCTGGGCAACTTCTTTGAGCTCTCTGAGCTTCCATTTCCTTAGCCACACAGGGGACACATCGTCGATTATGCCAGAGCGTTGTGTGGATTTGGAGAAAAACGGAGGCCATGACATAGTAGGTGTCTAGTGTTTGCTCACCTCTTTTATAGATCTGCTATCTTGGACCAAACAGTGCTTGGGACCATGCTTTGAAACTTAACCAGGCCAAAAGGTTAAAAGGTCAAAAGGCCAAAAGGTTAAAAGGTCAAAAGGTCAAAAGGCCCAAGGAGGGTCCAGGGGTACTCTGGGTTAGGTGGATTGCAGATCTAGTCCAATGCCGTTATTTCCTAGAGCAGAAAGCAACTCCTTAGACAAACCAGGGTCAAACCAGTTAGTGCCACGTTTAAAAGTTTCTCTCTTACAAGATCTGAAGGCTGAGGGGGTACAATATATCCAAAGCTCACAGAGCTGAAGTTGGCCTTGCTTAACAGGACGGCTGGCCCGCATGGCACCAACTAAATGGCACTTTCACTCTTTCTGCTCCCACTCCAAGGCTGAGAACCCCTCCCCCACCTCCAGTCCCTGTAAGCAGGAGGGTGGTGGGACATAGGCATGGCCGGCAATGACATACTTCTGACCTGAGCTGCAGTGTCACCCAGGCAGGTCACAGCGGCCGCACTACAGGCTGCTCGTTCACTCGGTGACCCACCCTGTCTAGCATTTGCCAGGGGGACAATGTGGACATAAGCGGTGCGTGGGAGGGAACAACACTGTCGGGATCTCTGGGGACATCTGTGACAAAGGGAACGGGGCAAGGGCGGGGAACGTGGCTAAAGGACGAGTTAGAGAGAAACGTGACAGATACTATGCCCACCCCTGCAGTAGCAACAGCGGCCCCATCCCAGCGCCCGCCCGGGCATGAAGCACTGCTATCCCCGGCTCATTTAAGGTCACAGAAGCACAAAGGGGACAGTGGAGGCTCACAGCCAGGGCTGAGGACTTGCGTGTCTGTGTTCCCCTAAAGGTCAGCATGTTGAAACCCAGCGCCCCAGGGTGCCAGTGTTGTGGGGCTGCTCAGACCACAGGGACTGGAGGTGTCTTTATAAACGGGGTCACTGCCCTGAGCACTTCCATTATGTGAGGACACAGTGAGGGACCCTCAGGGATGGGCTGTGGGAAGTCTGGGACTCAGTTTCTGCATCTGTAACATGGAGCATGTATGTATCCCTCGGAACTAGGTTTTCGGCACAAGGTAGGTGCTCAGGAAATGTTGGTTCACAGGTGCCAGGGTTAGAGGTCATGGGAATCACCATATACAACTCCTATGGACAGAACCACACCTGTTATATGGCTAAGCCAGGATCCCTGGCACGCCCCATCCCTGTCTGTGCCTCGGATGCAGATCTTGGATTGCAGGGTGGTGTCCCACTTTCCCAGGGAGCCTGATGATGGGGGGGGGGCTTTGTAGAAAGGAATCCGGGGCTGGGGTGGCACTGCTCCCTGACACAAGCACAGGCCACAGGGCACTGCCAGCTTACCTTCTTTGTCAGGGCCTTGGGGAGGGTTCCAAAATGGGGCTCTGATGCTCTGTCCACCGGGTTGTTGATGTCTGAGGGGACAGACTCTGTCCTCCGAAGCCTGGCTACTGTTTGGAAAGGGGGGAATCCGTTAGCAGGAACAGGCCACCGAGGTGCTCCTGACTCCAAACATGGGAGAAGGGAAGAGCTGTCACTCACGTGGGAGGAAGGATATTCTGCAGGCGGGGGCTTCCTTGGTGCACTTGTTGTGACATTTCAACCTGCAAAGGAGGAAGAGTCAGCACTCCAAGGGGCATCCCAGAATTGCTCAGATGACCTTGACACAGCCTCAGTTTCCCCAAAGCTCTCAACAAGAGTTAACACCCCACGTGCCACAGCCACTGTCTTCTATGTCCCCACAAATCCCTCCCCTGCTTTTAAAGGGGGGAACTTCCTCCATTTTAGAAAGCTCGGGAAAATCTGACCTTAAACATTCTAGAGAGGCCACCAGCATCATCAAGGGTGCTGGGGCCCCCAAGGGTATCTCCCTTCAGGCACTGGCCAGTCTGATGGGTCTAGCCAGGATGTCCCACAGGTCTCAGTGTTCCTGCTAATGGAATGGGCTGCGGGACTGTTCTACAGGACAGTGTGTGGGTTCAGGGGTTGCCATGTGCTGGCCACACCTGCATGGAGCTGAGGATCTCATTTTCAGCCAATTTCCTCAGAGGTCAGGGAGTCATCAGGACATTTGTCGTCAGGCTGATCTGCATGAGACCATTACCTCAGACCTGATGACAGCCCCGGAGCTGTCACCTATGGCGGCTCAGACAAGCTGCACGGATCAGCTCCCCAGCTGTCTAAATGGTAAACATGAAGCCTAGAAAGGGCAGGCGCCTTACCCATTGTCACACAGCGACATAAGGGTGGTAGGAACTGAGACTCCAGGCCACGCTCTGTAAGGTGTGCGGGCGACCAGATAACAGACTGTTGGTCCTCACTGTTCCCTACTTATGTCCCTTCCCACTGGAAACCATAATGTGATGACACAGCAAAGCTGGGTTGGTGTAAAATCTCATCTCCTTCACTCTGCCCAAGCATAAGGCAACTCTGCTGCCACCACCAATCCCTGTAGCCTGGCTCCCAACCTCAGAACTCTTTCTGGGCCCCAGAATCCTCACTTTGTTGTTGATGGTGGTTTTTCGAGACAGGGTTTCTCTGTGTAATTCCAGCTGTCCTGGAACTCGCTCTGTAGACCAATTTGGTCTCGAACTCACAGAGATCCGCCTGCTTCTACCTCCTGAGTGTTGGGATTAAAGGTGTACGCTACCACTCTCTGTGTAAGTCCTCACTTTATTCCTTGCCTTTGAATTATTTTTTCCTCATTCTACCTAGTAAACTTCTCTTCATTCTTCAAAACCCACTTCAAACATCCCTTGCTTTGAAGAGTGAGCTCCCTAAGGACTCCTGAGCACTTGGTGTGCTCACTGGCATTGTGAACAGGTTGTTAGATGAAGTCCTTCAAGTGGGATGTGACCGGAGGCCAAGAACGGAGTGGCAGGGCTGTTACAGAGGACAAGACTCTGCCCCCGCCATCACCTCAGACCTGATGGCAGGGCCGTTACAGAGGACAAGACTCTGCCTCCGCCATCACCTGCAGTGTTTGCACTTGACTCCAAACATCATACTCTTCTGGCACACGTTGCAGACCTGCGACAACCATGACTTTGTGGAGAACCTGCAGGGGGTAGAAATGTGTGTACAGATCAGAGTCCGGCCTCTGGAGGGTTCTGGGAAAAGGAAACTTAGCCTTATCCCAGAACCCCAGTTCTGTACTTGGGGGTCACAGCATCCCCCGGCATCTGGATTTCCCAGCTGCTGCCAATATCTAAAAGTTGACGTGGCCAACGGCTCCAAGCGAGACACCAGCAATCAAAGCACTGGCGCGCACTTCCTGGGACCTGGCAATTCTAGTCCTTTGTTTACTCAACACTTAGTCCCTGGGATGAGATGTTGCGTGACATTCGGACACAGTGCTGCCATACACCACAATAAGGCTGGAATGCCATCCCTCCACACAGAGGAACGCATGCAGCAGTCTCCACACACATGTGCAACCACCTCCAAATCTCACAACCAGAAGACCAAGTAAAGTGGGATAGGACACGGCGCCATGGCCATGAAGGTCACAGGAAAGGCCCATCTGTGATGACAGACTCGGATAGTAATGGCAGGTGGCAGCATAATCAACCGGGAAGAGCCAAAGCCAACTCACAGGGCACTGGAAGGTTCTTTATCTCCGTCAGCACACATACAGGGGACATAGCTATAAACGCTATGTGTGTTGTGCTCTATGTAAATCACGTGGATTGAAAGAGGGGAATGAAGCAAAGCACGAACATGCAGTGTGTAGTTTTGCATGAGAAAGGAAACAGAACATGCATACACACCTGCCTGTATAAGTCAGGCACACTGAGACTCCAGAGCGAGAGGGACTTTTCTCTCTACCCCCTGAAACCTCTTCAATTGTAAGCATATGCATTTTCCGTCTAAAATCTACCTAAACAAAACCAAAACCAAACCAGAAGATAGACCGAAAGGAGGAATGGGATTTAAGAGTGGTGTCCTTCAGCACAAAAGCACAAGGCCAGCCCAGGGAAACACACACAGCGTTTCATTTTTGGAGGAACATGCTTTTTGAAAACATAGTACATCACAGTAACAGTTGAATGACTGGTGGCAGTGTTTGTGGAGCAGTTTGCAACACACCCACAAACAGCTCACATGAGGACTACAACCACCTCCAAGAGTTAGCGGGCCCAGGAATCAACTCAGGGAGGTGGGCGATGGTCTATCCTGGCTGTGTGTTCCCAGAACCTCTTCCCTAGACAGAGAGGTGGGCGATGGTCTATCCTGGCTGTGTGTTCCCAGAACCTCTTCCCTAGACAGAGAGGTGGGCGATGGTCTATCCTGGCTGTGTGTGACTAGAACCTCTTCCCTAGACAGAGAGGTGGGCGATGGTCTATCCTGGCTGTGTGTGCCTAGAACCTCTTCCTTGAGACAGTAAGGTGGGCAATGGCCTATCCTGGCTGGCTGTGTGTGCCCAGAGCCTCTTCCCTGAGCAGTGAGGTGGGTGATGGCCTATCCCAGCTGTGTGTACCCAGAGCCTCTTCCCTGACAGCAGCTGAGAGATTCTGGCATGGACAAGACTCCAAGCAGAGGTCCGCTGTGTACCAGGGCTCAGGCTCTGCCCCTGTGGCAGTGACCTCAAATGTACTGCTCAACCCTTGGGAGCTAGAACTCCCCCTTGGGTGAGAACTTGAGGCCAGCATCAGCACAGCTGGAACACAGCCCACAGTTTCCATGGAAACCACAGGCTCTAGCAAGTTGCAATGCCCTTGAGCCCCTGACAGTGTCCATTGTGTGATTACAACAGACTTTAGCAGGGACAAGCAGAGCAGGGCAACCCAAGGTACCATCCTGCAATCCACCCAGAATCCCATGGCCAGCACACTCCAGTCTCATGAGCGTTGGTCCTTGCCACAGGTCTCCAGCGCCCTCTTTCACATGTACACACATCAATCTCTGGGATTGCTAAAACCCAGATTGCTGCTGGGTGAAATGGTGCACACATTCAACCCTAGCAGTTGTGAGGCAGAGGCAGGAGGATCTCTGTGAGTCTGAGGCCAGCCTGGTGTACACAGCAAGTCCAGGCCAGCGAGGGCTATACAGTGAGTGAGATCTTGTCTTGAAATAAAAATCCAGCTGGCCAGGCAGAGAAGTATCTGGGCAGGGTCCGGGAACATGGATTTTCAACATGCTCCACAGAGGACCCTGATGGCCCAGGGCCTGCATGACAGAGAGACGACCCATGGATGAAGCTTGTGGGAAAAGGTAGGAGAGTGTTTCCCCTCAGCAGGATGGGAACAAGACCCAAGGAGGGGCGGGTGAGGGACCAGAAGGCCCAAAGGTGTCCTGTTTAATAAGTCAAGAGCTCAAATTGGGTGCAAGTCTTGTTGCCACAAGACGAGCAGGTAGGCCAGAGGCAAAGGGCAACCAGGACAGACCCAACAGTGCCCTGTGGAGCCCAGCTCTGTACCTCCCACAGCTGAACCTACCTGTGTGTCACTGAGAGCCCGATATCCCTTCGTACCAGTTGTGGGGATCCATGAGGGAGATCTGTGGGGAAAGAACCCAGGTTGGATGAACCGAGGAGGCTCTGTGGGGCTGCCTGAGACCTTCTAGTTCAGAGATCACAGGCTAGATGGGGCATGGTGCTGTACTGCACAGCCCAGAAATGCTTCACTGAACCAACATCCACCAAAGAGGGATGGGCCAGGCCCAGCTAGACAAGGAGAACAGGTATCACCCTCACACGGGGTTGCTCTCTAGCACAGTCTCTGCCCAGCTCTGCAGCTGGGACACCTGTCTGCATATGATGGGTCTGCATCGGTGGGGGCAGGCTGGGGGGGCAGGCTGGGGACGCAGCAGGAGTGCAAAGACGAGGCAAGTTCATGTGTATGCCAGCCTCTTGCCTCCTTTCATGGCCATTCTCCTTTAGGGTTCAACTCTGGCTAACTCTGGTTAAACAGGTGGAAACTTGACCTCAGTGGAGGGCACAGGGCTGGTCAGCCATGCAACTCCACCAGCCAGCAGCACTCTGGAGACAGTCCTTGCTGATGTGGGCGGGAAGAGCAAGGAGAAGGTGCGGGTCTTCTTGGCCATCCCTTGAACCTTTGGGGACATCCCTGCTCCTCTTTCTCTGCCAAGGAGGACCACAGATTTGGAGGATCCCCTCTGCTTACCTTCTTCAGGTCCCCTGGGGGCTCCCTTCTCTGACATGGGTTCCTCTAAGAGCAGACACCCCAGTGTTTATGGCAAGGCTGGCCTTGCAGAGGAACAGCAGCTGGATACTGTCCATCACCCATAGCCTAGTCTCTGAACCCCATTCTCTGAGTTCAAAGAAAAGATTCAGGGACCCAGGACTCCTCAATGCTAATCAGTAGACTATTGCAGGCTTTTTCCTTGATGGACAGGGTCTGGATTTTAATCCAATGTATCAAAGGTCTCTATAACCCAGAAAAAATCAGGTGCTCAGGTGACAAATGTCCCTTGAGTCAGCACCCCCCCCCAGCATAGCTACTGGCCCTCTCTCCTTATGTTTGTTCACACAGCTGGTACTCACAACATACTGCCTCATCTAAGGCCAGGTACCACAATTCAATAGTACAAGGAGCAATGGAGGTCCTCCCTTACACACTAAAGAACTGTGATCGTGACAAAAGATCCTGTGCCAACCTCCTGATGACTGGGAACCCACAACCCGATCACCTGCAGCTCTCTGGCACACCCCTAGGAGGCTGCTGCCCCTCAACTTCCTCCTAGGGTCACCCTACTCCAGTCAGCGACCAACGCCATCTAAACACACCACTCAGAGGTGTGAGCGGTCAGCTACAGGGAAATAGTAGGAAAGTGAGAGGCAGTCATCGGGCTCAGAGCATGACCTGATTTGTCATGTTGGCCACAAGTATGCAGCCATTGGTGCCCAGGTAGCACTGGTCTGGACCTGGATGGAACATTGGTCCTGAGAGCCCCACAGCTTTGCTGCTATGGTTCCAACACCGCCACAGCCACTGCAGAGTGGGTAATGATGGTCAAGGATTGCCTAGGGTCAGAGGAGCCGGCTTTGGTATTGGTCCTAAAGGGAGAAATGCAGGTACCCTCCTCTCCTTACCCGTGCCTTCCTAGAACTCTGCAGCAGCTCCCTCAAGGACTGTCACTGCCTGCCAAGCCCTATCTGCCCTCTCTCCCTACGCCTTACCCCAGTCACTGTTATCAAGTAGCTGGTAGAAAAACAAATCACCATTTCTCTTAGAAAACCCCAGACATTGCTGGCTCGACACTCAGACCACCCAAAGCAGACTCAGGAGACCCAGCTGACCCCTCTACAGTTTGGGAGTATGTGTGAGAACCTGACCCCAGCTGGAGACAGAGGGGAGGGAAGGGGGCGCCAGGGTTGCCTGGGCTTCCTTTTTTTCCTCCAGGGACTTACACCATCAGATTTGGAGCTGCCTCTGGGAATGTCTGTCTCCTAGAGAGGGGGGTTCTGAGACCTCAGCAGGGCACCAGGTGGACGACCTCTCCCATCCAGAGCACAGCTTTCTGAGACAGCTCAGAAGAAAGGAGTAGGCACAGGGGTCACTACAGTGATGGCAAGGTGGAGACAGGCTTGGTATGGGGCTCATGTGACCCGAGACACTTTCAAAGTCTCTACTTCCCATTGGCTGGGCTAAGGCCAGTCTCGCATTTAAGGCCAGCTGTCTTAGAGCTAGTTCACAGAGTGGCTGCCAGCACTTCTGCTTCTGGACTATGGAATAGCCAACAGGGCCAAGGTGGGGTCAGAGAAATCCACCCTAGACAGGGACAGCGACTCCAACATGACTTCCGGTGGCAGAAGGGATGCAAATAAATTGTTCTTACCAAACCTGGAGAGACAAAAGGGAGAACAAGAGGGTGATGTCATTACATTGGCTCAGCCTGTTCTGGAAAATTACCTGTAATAGAGCAGGCCAAAGGCTGGGACAAGGGACAGAGACCTGGCTCTGTGTAAGCCTTGCTAGGCACCCAGCATAGCAGATTCACTCCCTTTATACCACCGAGGAAACAGGATCTTTGTCAGTCACATGCCCCACGGGGGTGGGTGCCCAAGGTCCAGGAAGAGGGGGTGGGTTGGTGTGTTAGAGGTGGGGAACTGGGCAGGAGAGCAGGGGATCTGCCATGCAGAGTTGAAAGATGGATTCCAGGAAGGGTCAAGTAGGGACACGCTCCCAGCAAGCCTGCCTTCTCCTCTGGAGCTCCCCTCTCCCAAAGGAGGCAGGGAGCTCACCAGAGAGTCTCTGTCAGGGCTAAATCAGGTGGCTGCATTTGGGGGGGATGGACTCAGAATCCCAAGGTCTGAAGTCAGCAGTGTTCCTGGCTTGAGGATCTGTTCCCTACTTGACCATGGGACACAGCCTACTGCTCTTCTCGGGAGAAAATGAGAAACAAGGCCACCAGCTTCAGGCCACTGTGAGGGCCTCTCCAATGGACCCATAGGCTTGCAGTAACTCGCCTGTATTCTACATCTGTACCGGGTGGCACTGGGGCTGGGTGGCACAGCTGGACAGGGAGGGCAGCACAGGGATCGTCTAGGTTTCCGCTTCACGGTCAATAATGCGAAGCCAGCGAAGCCACCCAGCGCCTGACACATAATGGGCCCAAGACAGGCCGCATGTGAGCATAAAAGGATTGCCCTGTTGCAGACAAGAGCCAGATGCTGACTCCTCAGGGAGACAAGGAAGAAAACCCAAAGAGAAGAGCAAAACCCACAAGGGTCTGAACACCCACTGGAAGGGACACGCTGACTAAGTTATACGGCAGCACGCCACGAGCAGGTTTTTAAGTCAGGTGGCTTCAGTTACTGTGGATATTAGGAAAGCTCGCAGCTTGTTTGGCTTCGGGTGAGAGTAAAATTGGCAGCGGTGGTGAGGAGACGGGTACCCTTTTTAGTGTGCCTCTACAGAGACCTACATGAGCCACCATGCCCTGCCTTTGGACCACGTGCAAATGCCATTTAAAGAGTTGTTAAGAAATAAGGAAAAGAAGCCGGGTGTTGGTGGCGCACGCCTTTAATCCCAGCACTCGGGAGGCAGAGGCAGGCGGATCACTGTGAGTTCAAGACCAGCCTGGTCTACCAAGCGAGTTCCAGGACAGCCTCCAAAGCCACAGGGAAACCCTGTCTCAAAAAACCAAAAAAAAAAAAAAAAAAAAAAAAGAAATAAGGAAAAGAGAAAAACCGCACATGCACATTTCCCCCCAAATTTTGGTATGTGCTAGAGATGAGAAGTGTTCATATTTTTAGTCCTTCAATGATGGATCCTCAGAGACAACTTATGAACATAGAGAAAGAATTCTATTTTTTTAAAGATTTATTTATTATGTATACAGTGTCCCTCTTGCATGTAGGCCTGCATGCCAGAAGAGGGTACCAGATCTCATGACAGATGGTTGTGAGCCACCGTGTGGTTGCTGAGAATTGAACTCAGGACCTCTGGAAGAAAAACCAGTGCTTTTTTTTTCTTTTCTTTCCTTTTTTTTTGTTTTGTTTTTTGAGACAGGGTTTCTCTGTATTGTTTTTGGAGGCTGTCCTGGAACTTGCTCAGTAGACCAAGCTGGTCTCGAACTCACAGAGATCCACCTGCCTCTGCCTCCTGAGCCCGGCCAGCCAGTGCTCTTAACCTCTGAGCCACCTCACCAACCGAAGGAACTTCTAGTTAATTGCCAGGACATAACATCTAGAGTTCCGTTTGGTCTGTCATTTTCTGTTTGGTCTTTCAGTGACCAGTAATGTTGCAGACAGGAGTTGCTCTACTAGTCCATGAGAACCAAGTCTCTGGCATTTTAAGCACTGGAGATACAGGGCCTGTTTACTACTGTGGCCTAGTCTAGCCTATCCTGACTGATACATGGCATCATTTTCTAGATTTATGTATGCACAGAAAGAGATCTGTTGGGATTCAGTTCAACTGCATCAAAGGGATGGACACTTATTTTTTTCTCCATACGTCTATGTTGACTTTATCAGTCCTTTGCATATGTTTAAGAGGAAGTCACAGGCAAACTTACTTCATTGGGGAGACTTCATCGATTCGGTTTCCCAGCTGGGACTCATGGGACTTGCTGCGTGTGAGTGTCGGGAAGTTGGGCAGCAGCTGGAAGACCTTGCGGCTTGGTGGTGGGGGTGTCCTCGGCGGCTTCAGTTTGGCGTGGCGTCGTAGTTGGGGTGTGGTAGGGGGTGTGATGAAGCTGTGTAGGGTCCGGGGGTTCAGCCAGCCACCAGTGTGCAAGGGGATACAGGTGTCCGAGAGGCCCTCACTGAGGCCAGGGACTGGAGAGTCCGAGGCAGGCAGGGCTGACACGGAGACGGAACGAGGGGCCTGGGTACTGGCACCCACTCTGCCCAGTGGGGAGAGCATGTCCACAGAAGGTCCAGAACTACTTTCCCGCTGTGTGTCTGCTGAATTCCAACCAGAGTCCTCTTTGTGATCCCCTCCTGTGGGGCAAGGGGTCAGTCAGAAATACAAGGGACTTAAGGGTACCACTACTATCTGAAAGCATGACACTGACTGAGGTGACACTGTCCTCAGCAGCAGCAGACTCTGCTCCCAGCTTCACCTGGCTTGTCAGAGGCGCCTGTGCACCCGATGGTGCCATCCATGGTATTCAGTTGACACAAAGGGGAATGCTGGGACACCCACCCCAAAGTGGGACATCAGAAAAGGAAGAGGTGACAGATCGATCCTGTAGCCAGCTGAGGTATGTGAGGAAGGGACAGTTCTGCTTTAGGTCACTAGCTGGGGTGGGGACGGGAGGTGGCACACCTGTGATTCCAGTATTCAGGGAGGTAAAGGTGGAAGGATCAGAAGTTCGAGGGCACCCTTGACTACATGGTGAGTTCAAGGCCAGCCTAGGCTGCAAGAGACCCTGTTTAAAAAACCAAAAAGGAAAAAAAGAAAAAAGTCTCCAAACACCAGCTGGGTGTGGTAGTACATGCCTGTCAGAGACACTGCTTGTAGAGCAAGACCCTGTCTCAAAAACAAAACAAAGCAGAATGAACATAAAACGAAAACCAAGAATCAGCCAGGCTGAGTGGCACACATCTGTATCCCAGCACTCAGGGAGCCGACATAGAAGGATGGTGAGCTCACAGCCAACACAGACTACATGGGAAGAAAAGACCGGAGACCGGAAGGGGAAATAATGGCAACATTTCCCATCCTCCACAGCCTAATTCTGAAAAGCACACCTGACCTTTAGTGACCCCTAGAGTTGATTTCACTTTCAGTCCTATCAGAGGGCAGCCCTTCCCTTATTGTGCAGATGAGGGCCTGAGGCACGGGGAGGCTGAGCCCTCACCAGGTCCTGCTGGGGTGCAAGCAAGATGCTCTGATGGCTTGCGACCCTGGTGACAGTGAAGAAGTCATGTGGGACAATGGGAAGTCCACGACCTGTCATAGGAATGCAGAGCTTCAGATCTGGGAGTGGACAACAAAGGGAACCGCAGAAGTTCACGTCCCTAGAGCAGTGACAGAGTGGAGCACGGGCATCATGAGCAGTGACAGAGTGCACACAGACATCATGAGCAGTGACAGAGTGGAGCACAGACATCATGAGCAGTGACAGAGTGGAGCACAGGCATCATGAGCAGTGACAGAGTGGAGCACAGACACCATGAGCAGTGACAGAGTGCACACAGACATCATGAGCAGTGACAGAGTGCACACAGACATCATGAGCAGTGACAGAGTGCACACAGACACCATGAGCAGTGACAGAGTGCATACAGGCATCATGAGCAGTGACAGAGTGCACACAGACACCATGAGCAGTGACAGAGTGGAGCACAGACATCATGAGCAGTGACAGAGTGCACACAGACACCATGAGCAGTGACAGAGTGGAGCACAGACACCATGAGCAGTGACAGAGTGCACACAGACACCATGAGCAGTGACAGAGTGGAGCACAGGCATCATGAGCAGTGACAGAGTGCACACAGACACCATGAGCAGTGACAGAGTGGAGCACAGACACCATGAGCAGTGACAGAGTGCACACAGACATCATGAGCAGTGACAGAGTGCACACAGGCATCATGAGCAGTGACAGAGTGCACACAGGCATCATGAGCAGTGACAGAGTGCACACAGACATCATGAGCAGTGACAGAGTGGAGCACAGACATCATGAGTAGTGACAGAGTGGAGCACAGACATCATGAGCAGTGACAGAGTGTACACAGACATCATGAGCAGTGACAGAGTGCACACAGACATCATGAGCAGTGACAGAGTGCACACAGACACCATGAGCAGTGACAGAGTGCACACAGGCATCATGAGCAGTGACAGACTGCACACAGACATCATGAGCAGTGACAGAGTGCACACAGACACCATGAGCAGTGACAGAGTGCACACAGACACCATGAGCAGTGACAGAGTGCACACAGACACCATGAGCAGTGACAGAGTGCACACAGGCATCATGAGCAGTGACAGAGTGCACACAGACACCATGAGCAGTGACAGAGTGGAGCACAGGCATCATGAGCAGTGACAGAGTGCACACAGGCATCATGAGCAGTGACAGAGTGCACACAGACACCATGAGCAGTGACAGAGTGCACACAGACATCATGAGCAGTGACAGAGTGGAGCACAGACATCATGAGCAGTGACAGAGTGGAGCACAGACACCATGAGCAGTGACAGAGTGGAGCACAGGCATCATGAGCAGTGACAGAGTGGAGCACAGACACCATGAGCAGTGACAGAGTGGAGCACAGGCATCATGAGCAGTGACAGAGTGGAGCACAGACACCATGAGCAGTGACAGAGTGCACACAGACATCATGAGCAGTGACAGAGTGTACACAGACATCATGAGCAGTGACAGAGTGCACACAGACATCATGAGCAGTGACAGAGTGGAGCACAGACACCATGAGCAGTGACAGAGTGCACACAGACATCATGAGCAGTGACAGAGTGGAGCACAGACACCATGAGCAGTGACAGAGTGCACACAGACATCATGAGCAGTGACAGAGTGTACACAGACATCATGAGCAGTGACAGAGTGCACACAGACATCATGAGCAGTGACAGAGTGCACACAGGCATCATGAGCAGTGACAGAGTGCACACAGACATCATGAGCAGTGACAGAGTGGAGCACAGGCATCATGAGCAGTGACAGAGTGGAGCACAGACACCATGAGCAGTGACAGAGTGCACACAGACATCATGAGCAGTGACAGAGTGCACACAGGCATCATGAGCAGTGACAGAGTGCACACAGACACCATGAGCAGTGACAGAGTGCACACAGACATCATGAGCAGTGACAGAGTGCACACAGACATCATGAGCAGTGACAGAGTGCACACAGACACCATGAGCAGTGACAGAGTGCACACAGGCATCATGAGCAGTGACAGAGTGCACACAGACATCATGAGCAGTGACAGAGTGCACACAGACACCATGAGCAGTGACAGAGTGCACACAGACACCATGAGCAGTGACAGAGTGCACACAGACACCATGAGCAGTGACAGAGTGCACACAGGCATCATGAGCAGTGACAGAGTGCACACAGACACCATGAGCAGTGACAGAGTGGAGCACAGGCATCATGAGCAGTGACAGAGTGCACACAGGCATCATGAGCAGTGACAGAGTGCACACAGACACCATGAGCAGTGACAGAGTGCACACAGACATCATGAGCAGTGACAGAGTGGAGCACAGACATCATGAGCAGTGACAGAGTGGAGCACAGACACCATGAGCAGTGACAGAGTGCACACAGACATCATGAGCAGTGACAGAGTGTACACAGACATCATGAGCAGTGACAGAGTGCACACAGACATCATGAGCAGTGACAGAGTGCACACAGGCATCATGAGCAGTGACAGAGTGCACACAGACATCATGAGCAGTGACAGAGTGGAGCACAGGCATCATGAGCAGTGACAGAGTGGAGCACAGACACCATGAGCAGTGACAGAGTGCACACAGACATCATGAGCAGTGACAGAGTGCACACAGGCATCATGAGCAGTGACAGAGTGCACACAGACACCATGAGCAGTGACAGAGTGCACACAGACATCATGAGCAGTGACAGAGTGCACACAGACATCATGAGCAGTGACAGAGTGCACACAGACACCATGAGCAGTGACAGAGTGCACACAGGCATCATGAGCAGTGACAGAGTGGAGCACAGGCATCATGAGCAGTGACAGAGTGCACACAGGCATCATGAGCAGTGACAGAGTGCACACAGACACCATGAGCAGTGACAGAGTGCACACAGACATCATGAGCAGTGACAGAGTGGAGCACAGACATCATGAGCAGTGACAGAGTGGAGCACAGACACCATGAGCAGTGACAGAGTGGAGCACAGGCATCATGAGCAGTTACAGAGTGGAGCACAGACACCATGAGCAGTGACAGAGTGGAGCACAGGCATCATGAGCAGTGACAGAGTGGAGCACAGACACCATGAGCAGTGACAGAGTGCACACAGACATCATGAGCAGTGACAGAGTGTACACAGACATCATGAGCAGTGACAGAGTGCACACAGACATCATGAGCAGTGACAGAGTGGAGCACAGACACCATGAGCAGTGACAGAGTGCACACAGACATCATGAGCAGTGACAGAGTGGAGCACAGACATCATGAGCAGTGACAGAGTGCACACAGACATCATGAGCAGTGACAGAGTGTACACAGACATCATGAGCAGTGACAGAGTGCACACAGACATCATGAGCAGTGACAGAGTGCACACAGGCATCATGAGCAGTGACAGAGTGCACACAGACACCATGAGCAGTGACAGAGTGCACACAGACATCATGAGCAGTGACAGAGTGGAGCACAGACATCATGAGCAGTGACAGAGTGGAGCACAGACACCATGAGCAGTGACAGAGTGGAGCACAGGCATCATGAGCAGTGACAGAGTGGAGCACAGACACCATGAGCAGTGACAGAGTGGAGCACAGGCATCATGAGCAGTGACAGAGTGGAGCACAGACACCATGAGCAGTGACAGAGTGCACACAGACATCATGAGCAGTGACAGAGTGTACACAGACATCATGAGCAGTGACAGAGTGCACACAGACATCATGAGCAGTGACAGAGTGGAGCACAGACACCATGAGCAGTGACAGAGTGCACACAGACATCATGAGCAGTGACAGAGTGGAGCACAGACATCATGAGCAGTGACAGAGTGCACACAGACATCATGAGCAGTGACAGAGTGTACACAGACATCATGAGCAGTGACAGAGTGCACACAGACATCATGAGCAGTGACAGAGTGCACACAGGCATCATGAGCAGTGACAGAGTGCACACAGACATCATGAGCAGTGACAGAGTGGAGCACAGGCATCATGAGCAGTGACAGAGTGGAGCACAGACACCATGAGCAGTGACAGAGTGGAGCACAGGCATCATGAGCAGTGACAGAGTGGAGCACAGACATCATGAGCAGTGACAGAGTGGAGCACAGACACCATGAGCAGTGACAGAGTGCACACAGACATCATGAGCAGTGACAGAGTGCACACAGGCATCATGAGCAGTGACAGAGTGCACACAGACACCATGAGCAGTCACAGAGTGCACACAGACATCATGAGCAGTGACAGAGTGCACACAGACACCATGAGCAGTGACAGAGTGGAGCACAGGCATCATGAGCAGTGACAGAGTGCACACAGACACCATGAGCAGTGACAGAGTGCACACAGACATCATGAGCAGTGACAGAGTGGAGCACAGACATCATGAGCAGTGACAGAGTGCACACAGGCATCATGAGCAGTGACAGAGTGCACACAGACACCATGAGCAGTGACAGAGTGGAGCACAGGCATCATGAGCAGTGACAGAGTGCACACAGACATCATGAGCAGTGACAGAGTGCACACAGACACCATGAGCAGTGACAGAGTGGAGCACAGGCATCATTAGCAGTGACAGAGTGGCCCACAGACATCATGAGCAGTGACAGAGTGCACACAGACATCATGAGCAGTGTCCTCACAGTGGCGCACAGACACATAGGAGCGCACACACTCAGACACTGTGAATGAAGAACTCCAGCCCTGCCCCTTTGGGGATAAAATAAATTAGCTGGGCATGGTGGTGGATCTCTGGGTTTGAGGCCAGTCTGGCCTACACAGGGAATTCTAGGCAAGCCAGGGCTACACAGTGAGACCTTGCCTTAAAAAAATAAATAAATAAAATAAAAATGAAGTAGCTGCAGAGATGGCTCAGCGGTTAAGAGCGCTGCCTGTTCTTCTAAAGGTCCTAAATTCAATTCTCAGTAACCACATAGTGGCTCACAACCGTCTGTAATGAGATCTGCTGCTGCCCTCTGGCCTGCAGGGATACATGTAGGCAGAACTCTGTATACATGATAAATATACACCTTTTAAAAAATATATAAAACTGGGTGCCTCCCCTTTCATAGTCGCAGGCGGCTCAGGTCCCTGAAACTTTTAAAGGCGGCCTGCTTCCACTCATTAGGTTCATTTCAGAGCCTTCTCCAGGCGGTGGTGGGAACATTAGGTCAAGAGTTGGAAACTGTTTCCAAGGGAAAACATAAAATGCCCATGAATAATCCCTGAGGAGACTGTGGTAATGGCAGGATTACGTATGGCCTGGGACAGTCCTGGGCACACTCCCAGAAATTTCGCGATTTCTCTAACTATGCGGGGCCCAGCTGCACTGATGCCAAAGGGGCCTTGTGAGCAGAGAGTCAAAACCACCCATAAGGATGGGAGCAACAGGGGAACTGTTAGCTGGAGGGAGGCTGGAATGCAGGAAGCTAGTGGAGGGGTCAGAGCAACACAGATGCCTTCCTGTGTCTGTGGGAAGCCTGTTAGACAGGGTCTGTTCTGAAAGCCAGCTATGGATTCCTAACAATGGCTGAAGCTTCCTAGGTCAGACTGGCCAGAGCAACTGGGCTTCAAGGCCCTGGAGACTCTGAGAGGGTTCCTTTGGGGCCAAGGCCCAGCATACTTTCTCAACAGCCGCACCAAAGCTGCCTCAGAAACCCTGAAGCATACTCCCCTCCCAGTCCCAAGGCCTACCTCAGCAGAAGTCCCACCTCCCAGGGGACCGGCCAGGCCTGGGAGCACAGTCAGGAGCAGAGGCCCTGGGGGAGGGCAGCAAGCCTTTCTTACCCAGGCGGGTCACCTTCCGCAGGCAGGTGAGGGCTTGCTGTAGCCGGCTACACTCCTCAGCATTGGCCCCCCAACGCTGCAGGATCTCCTTCGCCTTGGACTCATCCATCTCTAGCAAGGCATCCAGTGTCAGCTCTTGGGGAATCTCCTGGGGGCACAGAAGGGACAGGAAGAAAGCTGGGGGAGCTGGGAGGGAGTGTCAGCCCACTGCTCTGCAGGATAGGCCTCCCAGCTGAGTGGCAGGAGCCAGCTGCTGGCTGAGGCTCTGACTAGAAGCCACCACTTGTCAGGGTCACAGAGAGCACTCTCTCTCACCCCCCACCCACAGTCTCCACAGAAACAGCGGGAAGTGCAGAGAAAGCCACCTTTGCGCTGGGGCTAAGGGGAGGAAGAAAACACCAGGAAGGTCTGCACTGGGGACTCGCAGCCTCTTCCTCTCTGGTACAGAAAAGTTGGGAACTGTGACACCTTTGGTAGCTCTTCCCATCTTGATTGTATCTGAATCCTACAAGAGAGATCTCAAACCAAATTGCCTTTAACAAGGATCAAACAACAAAAAGAGAGGCTCTCGCCTGACTTGTATTTAAGTCAAAGCAGGTCAGCTAAACCAGCCTGTTAATCCCATCTACTTGGGAGGCTGAAGCAGGAGGATCCTAAATTCAAAGCCCATGCAGGCTGAGGATACTGTAGCTCAGTTGGCAGAGCCCTGGGTTCTAGTCCCAGCACTGCATAAACCAGGCCCTGTGGCCTGTGCCTACAATTCTAGCTCTTAGGAGGTAGGGGCAGAAGAACCACAAACTCAAGGTCCTCTTTGCCTACACAGGAAGTCTGACCCCAGCCTGGGTTACACACGACTGTCTACAAAGGAGGACAGGAGCTGGGGAAGCAAGGCTGGATGTGTAACTCAGTGAGAGTATTTGTGGAGCACTGGCTCATATTACATCTGGAGAATGAGTCTCAAAGGGCCACAGTGCTGGACAAAATTCCTTGGGGGGCAGAGATGTCCCAAGATGGAGCTTGCCTTGCCTGCAAACTTGATGACCCAAATTCAGTCCCCGGAACCTAGATTAAGGTAGAAGAGAACTGACTCCACACGATGTCCTCTGACCCTGTACATAAACACTGCAGTATGCACATGTGCACACACTGTACACATACAAACATTAATACCCAAATGAACTTTTAAAAAGCTATTATTGGGCCAGCAAGATGGTTCAACAGGTAGGAGTAGCTTGAGATCAAGCATGATAACATGAGGGTTTTTTGTTTTTGGTTTTGGCTTTTTGAGACAGGGTTTCTCTGTGGCTTTGGAGGCTGTCCTGGAACTAGCTCTTGTAGACCAGGCTGGTCTCGAACTCACAGAGATCTGCCTGTCTCTGCCTCCCGAGTGCTGGGATTAAAGGCGTGTGCCACCAATGCCAGGTGACAACGTCTTATTCAGCACTGTTTAAAACCGTCCCTGACACAATGACAAAGAAACACACAGTACCAAGAACGATCACCATCATTGCTCAGACAAAGTCTTGTCTGTCAGAAATTCTTCCACCCTATCACATGAAAACCCACAGGAAACCACTGTTGAGAGCAGCTCAGGGAGGGGAGGTTGACTAAAAACGGGTTCCCACATGGGAGATTTTCCCCTGCCCACCCCACATGGCAGCTTTTCCCCTGCCCACCAGCCTGTATTTCCCTAGCAACTGTCCTTCATTGCAGTGCAACTTGGGCATCCCTCCACTTCATTCTGCCATGGAAAGAAGCCTGATAATAATATTGTTGTGACAGGGACAGGTGAACTTCACCTGCACACAACTGCACTCAACAGCCGGGTGGGACACAGCACACAGCTATAATCCCAGCTGGGATCTGCGTGCAAGAGGATCTGAAATTTGAGGCTAGTCAAGCCAAAAGACCACTACACAAAGCAACATTCTACCTTGGATGGGATGTCCTTAGCAAGTCACCCATAGACACCCATGCAAATGCACACACTCTGTCAAGAATGCTGACTCAGCAGCTTCCTGGAAGATGAGAGACATTGGGGCAACCACCGAGTCAAGTATGGGAACCGCAACCTCCAACCTAACTATAAAGCTAATAGGAAGGGCTTTCACCCCCATTTTTCTTTCATTTTTATCTCCTCTTCATCAACCACACCCTTCCAATTTCTCAAACAAAATAATCACATTCATTACTATCAACCATTTGCCCGTACACTATGCCCACTGATTTGTATGCGTTATCTCCACTTGGGCTGACTCAGGAAGTCCATGCCACTCAGCCCATGAATTAAAGCTTGAAGACCTCACATGACTTAAATGGCAGCCTGAAAGATGCCAGACCTCCTGCTACTGTCCCACACTAACCTGGAACTCAGAAGCTTCCATCAGGAAGAGAGGGTTACTTTAAAATAGCCAATTTGGGGCAGTGGTGGTACACGCCTTTAGTCCCAGCAGTAGGGAGGCAGAGGCAGGCGCATCTCTGATCTACAAGAAATAGTTCCAGGACAGCCTCCAAAGTTACACAGAGAAACTTTGTCTCAAAAAAAAAAAACTTTAAAAAAAAGGAAAGAAAAAAAAAGAAATAGCCAATTTCTACCCACATTCCAACAGAACCACCCAGTAACATGGAAGGTCCTTAGTTCTTTATCCAAACAAATTACCCTTCATAGAAAGAGAAATATGTTCAACTCTTTCCTTAATACATAAAAATGTAAAAAGAAAAAATGGTTTCTTTATAACTACAAATTAGCTAGAAGTGTCTCACTCCTCTGAGCCTGCAGATCAATCTGCTGTCCCTTGAATAAGGCAGAAGTGTGTTCTTTCTACCCTTCCCTTGCCCCTACTCTTCAGGATTTGATTCTAAACAGTGCTAAAAAAATGGGCAAGGTCAAAGTGGGGCAAGCAGAGATGCTGGAGAAGAAAGCCACCTTAGAGCCCTCCACGTGCCTGAGCTGCCCCGCCCCTCCAGCATGGGTCACCGGTGTTTCCCACCGGGCTTCAAGGGGTGTGAACACACGCCCTCCCTCACATGGAGACCCTGTGTGAACACACGCCCTCCCTCACATGGAGACCCTGTGTGAACACACACCCTCCCTCACATGGAGACTCTGTGTGAATACACACCCTCCCTCACATGGAGACCGCTTAGCACTCCATTACATCAGTCTGCTACCATCTTCCTGACTGACAGTTCTTTCTGCCACTTAAGTCTCCCCGGCATGAAGAAGCAGATAGGGAATTTGGGGGAGACAACCCCAGTTCTCAGAAGTTGCAGCAATGGAGTTATCTCTAGACCCATCTTTTTATGATGTCTTCTACCACAAAGGGCAAGGCTAACCAGAAACCTACCCACTGCTCTCAGTTATATGGGAGTAGAGAAAGCCAGGAAGGGTGCCAGAACTTCCGGCATTAAAAAAATAAAATAAAATAAAAATTAAGCTTGGCATGCCATGCCTGTTATCTAAAACTTGGGAGGCTGAGATATGGGGGGGGGGCAGCAGTTCAAGTCAGGTGTGGTAACATAATAAGTTTGAGGCTGCCTGGGTTGCATAAGATCCTGGTGTTTTGTTTGTTTCGTTTTCATTTGTTTTTTAAACTTATTTATTTTCATTTTATGTGCAATAGTATTGGGTCCCTGGAACTGTAGTTACAGACAGTTGTGAGCCGCCATGTGGGTATTGGGAATCGAACCCGGGCCCTCTGGAAGAGAAATCAGTACTTTCAACCACTGAGCCATCTCTCCAGCCCTTATTTGTTTGCTTTTGAACAGACACTCTGCATTATCTTTGAATGGTTCTTTTTACTTGGTGGCAACTAATCCAGATGCGTTCATGGACACAGGGACCTGAGGATGGAAGCTGCTGGAGGAATATGGTCCTTCCCAGCCGCGGATCTGACCAGTGACTTCTAAAGCCTTTGCTCTGCAGGCACATGAGGCCTACCTTGCAGCCGTGAGCAAGCACTCTGGATGGCCAGGCAATCTCAATGAGCCCTCCGCCCTGCACGTAAAGAGTGGGGCCTTCTGACTCTTACGGAAAGTTCTATGAGGCAGGCATGCCTGAATCGGGGCACCAAGAAAGCAAAGTACCTGTGACTGCCCAGCCCCCTCAGCAAGAGAAGCCTCCCTGAGCACACCCTGGTCCAGTGGTATCATGCCTGGTGATACCAGTGGTCCTGGTATCATGCCTCAACCAAAACAACTCAGAGCCTCCCGGACCCCACACACTGATGTGTCTCGCCCACCCATCAAGACAGGTATAGCACAGGGGAGTCTGTGTTGGGAAATGAGGTCAAATCAGTCATTCCCATTTATGCTAGAGAACCAGAAGCAGGTTAGGGATCAGCCTGCCTCCTGCCAAAGGGGAACTCATGGGGAGAGGAGCCACTGGGAAACCCTCTCTGGCTTGAGAGGTCCCCTGGCTGCCCACCCACCTGGAGGCCTATAGAAGATGGTCATCTAACAGCTAACAACATCTGGCTCCCTCTGTCATGCTGGAGAGCTGGAGAAGGGATGGAGGCTGGGAACCCACACTGGTTCTAAAGGAACTGCTGCACACTCCAGCTGCTGAGCCAGGATAAAATGTGTTAGCCAGAGGCTGAGAGAAGCCATATGCCCAGCCACGGACCCAATATGCCTTGGGGTTCACATGAGTGGTGCATCAGGAACACGGCCTCCTAGGCGCTGCCATTTTCCCTCAAACCATGACTTATGTTTTCCAGTGAGTGACATTAAGTTATCCTTTCTGGTAATAATGAGGAAGCAAGGCCAGTTGCAAACTGAGGTCATCCCAGCCTGTGACAATTAAGCCATGCCATTAACAGGAGTCTGCTAGTCTCTGTTCTCTGTAGCCGAAGGCAGGGAAGGGTTTGGTCAAATATGCCCCCACCCGCAGTCCCCAGCAGCTGGCAGTGGCTGGGGTCACAGGTCATACTGAGTATCAGATGGTATCCTGGGACTTACCAGCAGCCACGGGGCAGCCTGGGTCTATACTTAGAAACTGCCGGCTGACACAGGGAGCATCCACACACATGTGGGCCAGGGAGAGGACAGTGGTTATGCTAGGGGCCATTCTGCCTGGCATGGGCCACATACACACGAATGCTCTGTAACTCCAGCCAGAACTGAGGGGACAGTTGGACTGAGAGCCTA